TCTGTCTATCAAAGCAACATATTTCTTAGTTCTGGACTCCAGATCTTAGATTTCTTCCTTCTTTTTTCTCTCTTGTCTCCCTGACCCAATTAGTCACGGAATCTTGTCAGGTTTCCTGGTATTGTCCCGTGGTTAGAAATCTCTTTTCTCCCCCGAAGTGCATTCACTGGATCAGGCCTGGACCATTTATGGCATCGCTTCCTAACTGGCCTTCGGGCTATGGGTTTGTCCCATTTTGCCCAGATCCAGCCCCTTGTCCCTTGCACACAGCTGCTGGGGTGGCTTTCCCCAAACACCTCTTTCCACATAACCTCATCCATTTATAAACCTCCCAGCCCTCCCCATTGCCAAGGGTATTGAGTCTAAATCACATTGGGCCCCTTGTAGAGGGAAAGGCTGGTTCCGTGGGGCCATAGACTAGGCCTAACGTGAAGGATATGCTCGTAGTTCTCTCTAGGATGTGGTGGGCTGCCCTGAGAGTGTGCAAACGCCTGGTTGTCACATAGCAGGGAGGCAGCAGAGGAGCTCCAGTGTTGGATGGATTTGAGGGCAACTAAGTTCCTCCACGCAGAGGCTCTTGGGCTCTAGGTCTGTGTCTTAGCTTCCCATTGGGAATCTCTCTGCACTGCCAAGGAGAGATCTGTGCTTACATGACTCTGGGGGTGCAGTGGAAATAGATGGTCTTCCATCTTACCCTCGGGGGCTGAAAACCTCAGGTGGAATCTTTATTCTGCCCTCTAGATGCTGTGTTGCCTCAGGCAGGTCTCTTCCCCTCTCTGCGCCTCCATTTCCTCATCTCCTGAATGAGGATGATAATATCTGCCTCCCAAGATTGCTGTGAAGATTATTTTCTCTAACTTTTTATTATGGGCATTTTTAAGCCAAGAAAATGATACAATGAACCCTCTTATACTCATCCGGTTTTGAGATCCAATTTCCATTTTTGGTGACTCCATCGTCAGGACCTGTCACCTCTGCCTCACACGGGGCCAATTTAGCTGCTGCTAAATTCCGGGAACCATAAGTCCCATTTGCTTAGAGTGAGGCCCAGTGGCAGGCACATTTGCTTGGCTGAACAGGATTAGAGAGGCGGTGAACAAGCTCCCCATCTCGTCCCCTGAATTTGAAGTGTCCCTTGGACACAATCCATCGCCCTCCACTCCACAGTGCTGTGCTTGTGGAGGGGGGATATGACGAGTCTGAACAGGTCACCTCCCTCCTTCTTTTGGCAGGTGCGGGAGCTGACTGATGCCGAGTTCCCCCACTCCTTCCTGGTGTCCGGGAAGCAACGCACCCTAGAGCTGCAAGCCCGGTAGGCCACCTGGGGGCTGGGTGAGGCAGGAAAACTGGGAGGGGCCGCTCTCCTCAACACCTGTGTTCACTTTCCCAGCAGGTCCCGGGAGGAAATGATTTCCTGGATACAGGTATCTGATTGCTCCAGGGTCCTAGGATTCTGACCCTACCTTACTCAGGCTCGGCGTGGGGAGGGGTGTGTGTATGTGTGCGTGTGCGTGTGTGTGTGTGCACACTTCCAAAGCGGGGCATGCCCAGCTCCTCCCTGCTCTTCCTACAGAGTTGCTCAGTGGTAATGTGGAGTCAGACCTGGGTTCAAATCTTGCTGCCTCTCACTGTCTAGCTGGGCAGCCTGAGGCAAGTCACTGAACCTCTCTGAGCCTCGGTTTTTATATCTGTAATCTGGGGCTAATAGTTTCTCCTCCCTTAAGTCACCCATGTGTGCTTACAGTCCAGTGCCTGGCACCCAGTAGGCTTTCAGCAACATTTGTTGAATGTGTGGATGAATGAACAGATGAGCAAGCCCTCCCTCCCACCCATCAATACCCCCAATCCCTCCCCCCTACCCCCCAG